TCCCACCTCCTTGGGGAACTTTCTTTATCAGCAATCCCATTTCTCATCTGTCTTTCAACCACTTGTCCTTTTTCTGGTTACTTCCCATCAGTATTTAGATATATTCAAATTTCCTTTCTTTAAAAACAAGCAAACAAACACAACTTTCCTTCAAGTGTATCTCCAACCGGCACTTGCCCTATTTCTCTTCTTCCATGACCATGGAAGATTTTCTAAAGTGTAGATATATGTTTCATCTCCTCACCTCTTCTTCAAAACTCAGCCCAACTCCAGTTTTTCTGACCCACTGTTATAGATGAGAAAAAGCAATGACATCCTATTTGCCAAATCCAATGAACAATTTTAAGTCTTTATATTACTGGCAGTCTCTCTGCTGTGTGGAACATAATTGATTGCTCTCATTCTACTTCTGTCCTCATGCCTCTCTTAAAACTGTCTACTCCTTGGCTTTGGTGATTCTGTACCTTTCCTGATTTTCCTCATTCCTCTATGATTACTCCTTCTCATGCTCCTTTGTAGACCCTTCCTTTGCCACCCCTTAAATGACAGTCTTTTCCAGGATTTTTTAAATCATTCTGTACATTTTCCCTAGATCAACTCATCCATCCCTATGGTTTTGTCAACCATGCTATTAATCTCTAGATCTTTATCTGTAGCCTGAGATCTCCCTTGGAGCTTTAGGGCCTGTATACTAAATTAGTACTAGACATGTAAAATATGATACATCCCATAAGTAACTTCAGACCAAACTCAGTATGTCCCAAATTCATCTTCTTTACTCAAACCCAGCCCTTCACCCCTATCTACCTCACTGCCAACATTTTGGTGACTTAAATCTCTATCCACACAGTTGTCCAGGCCTGAAACTTGCAAGTTCTCCTATTTTTTCATTCAATCAAACATTGAGACCTATTAAGTCTGTCTTCTTAATATCTACGTGATATGTCTCTTCCTGAAGTTATTACAACATATTAGTCCTGGCTTTCCATTATCTCTTTTTTGAACAATTCAAATAATTTCTTAACTGGTCTCCCTGCCTCTTGGCCTACTTCACTTTAGTTCTTCCTCCATATTGGTGCTAGAATGAGTTTAATCTAATGTGAATCCAGTCACACCACTCCTGCTTAAAGCCCTATCATGGTTCCCCACTTCTTATTAGTAGAGTTAAAACTGCTCACTGGGACTAACAAGGCCCCTCACAACCTAACTCTGCCTACACTTTCAATCTTATCTCCTGCTATCCTTTCTTATTTTCATGCCCAAATGATATCAAGCTGAACACCCCATAGTGCCTCTGTCCTTCAAACATACTCTTGTCTATGCTGATAATGATCCCTTGTCCTATAGCCATACCCTTTCTTGGCTTTCAAACTTGGATTCAATATGTCTGGATAGATTCCCAAGAAACTAACAGTGATTTGCCTCTGTAGAGAACTGAGTATCTGGGGAACAGGAGTGGAAGAGTTAATTTGGTTACCATTTTGTACTTTGTACCAAAAATCTGAATTAACTACTTAGCATGTACAAGGCCCTCTGTATTCAGATACAAGCACAAAGGGGGGAAAAAGAAATAAAAAGAAAAAAGTATGAGTTACCTATTCAAAAATAAATATATTTTTTAAAAAAGTTCAAGGATCACATCCTATAGAAAGTTCTCTTCTCCTTAATCTCTTCCTCTATAGTTTTGCATTCCCTTCTGTGTTCTCTTTTTGGGTCCATTATATGCTTTTATGATTAGAATAATCACATTTTGTTATAATTGACCTTTTAAGTTGTCTTTGTTCTGAGATTGTGGTGAATTATTCAATGGAATGGGTTGGATCTTATACTTATTGCCTCAGAATATACCACAGTGCCCCATACATGTTTATGGAATGAATGAAGAAATGAGTGAAGAAATGTTAATATATGGGATGCCCCAATTGTAAAATAGAGCTCCCAAGCTTGACTCTTTTCATATCTACCTCACTCCATCCCTTTTTGCATGCATTTAGCCTAAAACAATAATTAAACTTATAATTGTTGAATATTATCACATTGTCATTTTGGGCTCAGCCTCCTCCATGACTACATAGATCAGTTCGAAGTCCCTCCTACCTTTGTGTCGTTGGTAGATTTGAGATATATTTATATTTCCTATTCTGAGTCACTGAATCAGAATAATTGGTATAAGATTTACCATTTATTGAACACCTACAGTGTGTCAAGATTTTACATTTGATTTTGTCATGGCATTTGCTTCAAGGTAGGTATTTTGATCCCCAGTTTATAGAGGAGGAAATTGAAAAAAGTATAAGTGCCTTGCCCAGGATCACATTGCTAGTAAGTGGTGACACTGAAATTTGAACCAAGGTTTTTTGACTTCAAAATTCATGCTTGAATCAGGCATGGTGGCACAGGCCTATTGTCCCAGGAGGCTAAGGCAGAAGGATCACAAGTTTGAGGTCAGCCTCAGCAACTAAGCAAGACCCTGTCTCAAATAAAAAAAAATTAGGGCTGGGATGTGGCTCATTGGAAGGTGCTTCTGGTTCAAACTCAAGTACAAAAAAAAAAAAAAGTGCTGGCAATGAAACTCAGTGACCAAGTTCTGCTCCATTCAATCCCCAGTATGCACCCCCTAAATTCATCCTTGATTCATAATACCACACTGATTGTAAGGGGCCTGCCTACTGCTTGACCGCCATTCAAGAGGTTCTCCAAGGTTGGCATGCATCCCTTGGTGCCTAGTGCTCACTGCTCTTCAAAGAAGCCATTTCCATCTTTGGACTGCACAGACCATTTAGAAAACTCTTATTTGTATTATGTAAAAGTTATAAATGAACCAAACAAGATATGACCAGGAACAGGACCTTTTGGCTGTCTTCTATAACTTCCCTTCCAGTCTGACCAAAACATTCTTTTACTCCTTTGGCTACAGTGATTCAACTAGTTACAGGCTCATCTCAACAAACAGTGTAAGTGTCCAGTTTATATTTTTCTATCTAATCTACAAGGAAATTATAAGAAACTTTGTCCAATGCATGGATGAAATGAAATACCCTATAACTATCACATTCTCTGATCTGCCAATCTAGCAACCAGATCAAAAAAAGGAAATGAAGTCTGGGAGGGATATTTGTTTTTTAGCAGGGCAATTTGTCAATGACTCAAAGTAATGAGTTTCCAGTGACATATTTTCAGGCATCATTGAAAGGCTGTCAGGAAGATGATTTTTTTTTGGGGGGGGCAGTGGGCTTCCTACTGTTCTTCAAATGACATCTAAATAGACAGGGCCTCCCACTTTTATTGTTTTGAATTGTACATCACTCTTTGCTCCTGTTTATTTATTTTAGGTTTCCATTTCAATTTTCTTTGCTTGTATTAGTCTCTGTGTTTTGCCCTACCACATCTTTTCTCTCCCTAATTTATTTCCTAAACTCCTATATTTCCTGCCCCAAAAATGTACATGCATATGTGCACACACACCCCACATCCTCTGCTAAGCAGTGTCTGAACCCTTCCTCTACAAGCATTCTCTGTTGTTCCCAACTTGGGCTAACTATTACTCCTCCTGTGTGATGTAGTGGGAAGTGTAGACAATGTCTGTCACAAAGCAGATACTCAATAAATATTAGTTTCCTTCTCTCCTACCTCCACAAATAGCTCTCAAATAGTACTAATCACACTATGTTGTATTTTATTGTCTGATATCACTCAGTTATTAATTCATTTATTCATTTGTTTGTTCATTCAACAGATATTTGTTGCTTATCTACTGTGTTTACAAGTCATATCATGTTGGTATCTGGGATTCTATGATTTCCAAAATATTGCTTTTCACTCTTTCTTTGTATTTCTGTATTCACAGCACCTAGCATAATGTTTGGTAAATAGAGTACTCATTAAATGTGTGTTAAGGGAATGCACTTCCTCAGCAGTTTCTTTAATTGTGGTCCTTATATTACTTGCGGCTGGATCACTGAGGGTTGTAGGTTAATTCCTAGGTCCCTCTCCAAATCTACTGAATCAGAATCTCTTAAGGGTGGGCTGAACCAATCTGCATTTAAACTTAGTTCTGTAAGTGTTTCTTTCACCCTAAAATTTGGGAGCCACTGCAAAATAGGAGAGGGAAAGGAAACTAATGTCTATTTTTGAAAAGTGTTGCAAAACCAATTGAATAATTTTTAGTGCTTCTGTCTTCTGTAAGAAAAATTAGTAAAGGGAGAAAATGGCATTAGTTGAAATTCTCTAAAAAGATTTTAAAAATAGACTTGGAATAGTCAACTAATTAAATGCAAGACTTTCTAAAATTGAAGATGAGTAAGTGGAATTATTGATAATAAAATCTAATCTTAATTTAGGCCAAATTTATTTATGATACCAGAGAGTTTTCATTTTTACAGAGCTGTATAACAGTAATATATATATATATATATATATATATATATATATAACAGTATTATATAACAGCATTATATTTTGATTCCCATATTGTGGACTTAGATTACAAATTATCACTATATGTCCCAATAGTATTTGTGCTTTGACACTGATCATAAATGTGATTTACCTAATCCCTAGTCCTTATTCAAGGATAGTAATGCTCATTTTCCATGAAAATTTGATCCATTTTCCTGTTTCATGCCATAATTTCCAAGAGCTCACTTTTATTTAAAGTGCTCTTTGGTTACAGATTAAGTATATCAGATTTAAGTCAACCAAAAACAGACTCTATGTAGACTCTTTCAGGAAGATTTTAAAAGTGGGATTTCATGATCATCTTCTTGGGTCTGGAACTGCTCATTTTTAGTTTGCCTTGACATGGTCAAGAGCTCATGGTCAAGAGCTGAGGTATCCTTGCATTTGGATATGAATTAAATATCCACAAATTTGTATTTTCATTTCCCTTCTTATAATTTCCTTTTTATTTTTAATTTTAAACAAACTCAGGCTGCAGTGGTGGTATCACTGTTTCCAAGGGGAACTGAAAACTGCTATTTACACTCTGTCCACTCAATACCATGTCCAGTGACTTGAGATTTCTGAATAATGTCTCCTTTCTGGAACTGAGTGATTACCAGGACCAGCAGTTCAGTGTTGATAATGTTGAGTATGAAAAATTACTGAAAGAGAACTCTACACTGTATGTGGGGAATCTTTCATTTCATACAGAGCCAATATATGAGCTCTTTAATGGATATAATGATATCAAGAATGTATTTATGGGGCTGGGGTTGTACCCCAGTGGTACAGCGCTTGCCTGACTTGTGTGAGGCACTGAGTTTGATCCTCAACACCACATAAAAATAAATAAAATAAAGGTATTGTGTCCCTCTACAACTAAATTTTTTTTTAAGAAAAGTATATTTATGGGACTGGGTAGAACTGGATAGATATGGTTTCTGTTTTGTACAATACCATAACAGAGCTGATGTTGAAAATGCCATGCAATTCCTAAATGGGACTTGCCTAAATGACCATATCATTGGAACAGATTGGGATCTCAGTTATTTAGAGGGTAGACAGTGTAGCAAGGGCCAATCTGGGGGCCAGGTAATAGATGATTTTCTTGAAGACTTTGATGTTGGTGGGGGACGCTTTAGAAAAAAGGTTCAGGCCCACAACAGGAGAGGAATACACTAGAGAAAACTTTGCAGCTCATTTTTTTTTAAATCAATTAAAGAACAATATCAGCTCTATAAATAGCCCATTCTACAAGTTTAAATTACTTTACTTGCTGAGCAGAAACCCTTGTGATGTAGTTTTCTCTCTGAAAATTTACTAAATGACACAAAATAAACAGAATCCTTTTGTTCCCACCTTTTGTGTGTGTGTGCGTGTGTGTATTTGTGCGCTGTGCTGGGGATTAAACCCATGGGCACTTTACTCTTGAGTTACATTCTCAGACCTTTTTAAAATTTTTTTTCTTTTTTGAGACAGGATCTCACTAAGTTGCTGAGGCTGGCCTTGAACTTGTGGTCCTTATGTCTCAGCCTCCAAAGTTGTTGAGATTACAAACAAGCACCACCATGGCCTGCCCATCTGAATTTTGTAGGTGGTTGACAAATTGCCAGTTTACCAGTTTGACTACTAAACTGGTCAAAAGTGAAGTGTTCTTCAGGAACGAATTAGGTATATTAGATCTGTGTCCTATAAAATCCAACTTCTCTTCTAAGAAGACTGCAGTTGAATTTTATGAACACATTCCAGGGGCCCCAAATCATCATTTTTTAAAGTGCATATAAAATAAAGTCAAATAAATGGAAAATTTAAAAAATTATCAAAGTAACACAAGAATATTACTTTAAACCATAAAACGTCTGGAAGAGTTTATGATGAAATGAGACTCCTCCTACTCTTCTCTTTCATATCTTAGGCCTATTAACTTTTTTTTTTTTTGGTACCAGGGATTGAACCTAGGAGCACTCAAGCACTGAGCCACACCCCTAGCCCTTTTTGTATTTTATTTAGAGACAGAGTCTTTCTAAGTTGCTTAGGGCCTTGCTAAATTGCTGAGGGTGGCTTTGAACTCACAATCCTCCTTCCTCAGCCTCCCTAGCTGCTGGAATTAGAGGCATGTTCTAGGAACTTAGGCCTGTTCCTTATGCAATAAGTTAATTTTTAAGCAGTTGTTTTGTTTGTTTTTTTTTTTTTTGGTTTTTCATCCATATCGCTAAATAGCATGACTGCTTATTTATTTTCATTTGAAACATTATCTATTGAATTCCTGCCTTCATAATGGGGATTTAGGTCACTTCTTACTTCAGTTTGCACTTTTCTAATCTGCATCCTCTCAGTATAGTTTACAATACTTTACTTATGTTTTCTATTATTAATTAGTGTAGGCTAGATTATACTGCAGTAACAAATAACCCCTCAAATCTTACTGGTATAACATCACTAAGAGCTATTCCTCCCACTACATTTCCATTGTTAAATACCTGAGGTCTTTGTATCATGTCATGATCATCCTCCCTTTTGGGTCCCAGGATGATATTATAATCACTAAGGGGATGGTGGTAGAAGGAAATTCAGTGGCAAAGCATGAGCTGGCTCTTTGAGCTTCCTCCCAGAAATGGTATATGTCACTTTTTACTCACATTTCAGTTCTCAAAATATATTACCAAAACTGACTTTGAGGGAGTGAGGGGGTGGGGAAGTTTCTGCTGGGAGAGGCCCCAAATACAATAGACATTCTTGTATTTTAACGTAGGTACACCTCCATTTTTGTTCTACCACATAGTACTCTCCACTTTGTAAGATGAAGATGTTAATTCCCCTTAGCCTGTATATCATCTTTCCTCTACCTTTTCTACTTCCCAGCTTCTTTCATTGTACTTTTGATTTTACTTTTAATAATTAAGTTGTCCATGCTCTGTCTTTAATTCCAAATGGTTAAAATTAGTAAGGAATATTTTATTATTGTGACTATGTAAATACTATTCTTTAAAAAGCCAAGGAAAATCCAACAATTGTATTTTTCTTGAAATTGTTCATCTTTTTCTATTTTTTAAAGGTGTTGGTTGTTTACTTATTTATTTTCATAGTCATAGTTGGACATAACACCTTTATTTATTTCTATGAGGTGCTGAGGATCGAACCAAGTGCCTTGCATGTGCTAGGCAAGTGCTCTAGCACTGAGCTACAACCCCAGCCCTTTTGTGTATTTTTTACACTATTAGTCTTTATTGCATCCCCTAATTTTCTGCAAATTTCTGTTAAAATCAAGTCTTCTATTCCCCTACTCTTTTCCTGTAATCTGTCTGTCCTTATGCTCCAATCTGGGTTTTTTACACTATTGATATTAAGATCAGATAGTTCTTTGTTGTGAGGGGCTGTCCTGTGCTTTATAAGATGTTTAGTGGCATTCTTGACCTTGTATATCCATTAACTATAGTATCACACATGCACACAAATGTATGCACAAGAATGCACATGCACACACACACTCCAACTCTGACAACCAAAAATGTCTTTAGACATTATCAATTGTTCTTGGTGGCAAAACCACCACTGGTTGAGAACTCCTATTCTAAGACAATAGTTGCCATCCAGGGACTTTTTTTCACTATTTTCCTGGGTCTGATTGACCATATCATAGATTTTGTATTTCTCTCTTCTGTGGTTTACTACTTTGCTTGCAGGAACACATTATCAAGGAACCAAGGCAAAACATGTGGCAAATTGATTTTTATGAGTCATCTTTATTCTTCCCAACACTTTCTTGATAGTTTGAATTGATGTATAATTCTAGATGACAATAATTTCCATCAGGAGTGTTAAGTCCCTTGTGCTCTAACATCCAATACCTGTCAGGTTTTTAAGTCTTGCTTTTTCTCTGTCAGAAATCTTGGTTTTCTCTTTATTATTGGTGTCCTGATGTTTCACAACAATGTTTATATAGTTGTATTTTGTTTTGTTTTAATTTACTATGATGGGCTTTCAAGGGGAACTTTCAATCTAGAGATTTGTACCTATTTTTAGAAATTCATTTGTATTATTTATTTGTTTCCTCACCCTCCATTTCCTCGGTTATTTTGTAATCCCCATTAGCTGGATATTGGGCCTCCTGGATTAATTCTCTAGTTTTCATGGGTTTAGCTATGTAAAGCATTATGGTAATCCTTTCCCTCTTGCTGGTGATTGGTTTAGTAGTAAAGACTTAAACCAATCAGAGATTGGCAATCCTGCGATGATAGTTATTATGCTCAGGGATAGATAACAAGTAATGGGAATCCAAGTGAGACTGAAATAAAAGATTTTTTACTTTATGCTTGAAGGAGAGGCATGTGATGTGAACAGGTATACATACAGTGATTACTATAAGCAGCTTTCTTATTATCATAGGAGAAACTAGCCCTAAGATGAATGGGACACTTCAAATGGTGAAAAGAGGGATCAAATATCCCCATGTCCTTTATGAGATAATTCAACTGCTGACTAACTGTATAGCACACATTATGTCTGGATGTCTTATTATGTAAGGAAATACATTATATTTTATTGTTTAACCATCTTGTGGCAGGATACTCTGTTGACATGGCAGCTAAAAGCAATCTGATCCCAAAGTTCACACATTTTTGCCTTCAGTTTCATCCTTGTTGTAAAGGAATTGAATCAATGCCTCATAAACTCAAGCCTGTATTTCCAGGGTTTGTGATCTTCTGGAAAATTGGGTAAAATCACCTTCTTATTTTGACTCCTTTACCTTGTAACCTGATGTCATCCTCTCTGGTCAGTAACTTTATTTCCTGAATCAGGAAGGAAAGGGAATGTCCATTTTTATGGAGTGATTATGTGCTAGGCACTTGTGATAATTAATCTGGGTTGTCAATCTGATTGGATTGAGATACTTTAAGATTCAGAGACTTCTGGGTGTTCATTGAGAGTGTTTCCAGAGATGATTTAGCTTGTGGGACAGCAAACTGAAGGGGGAAGACGTGCACTGAACCTTGGTGTCTCAGTTCCATAGGCCTGGGCCCTGGATGAAAAACACGTGGAAGAAGAAAGAAGCCAAGTGCAGACATAGCTCAATTCTTGAGTGGGTACTTAGATTCCTCCTGTGATCACCAGAGGATATTGGACTTTAGGTCCTTCACTCTGCCAAAGTGGATTGTGACCATCAATTCTCCAGGGAGTTTCTAGGCCTTCAGTCCTGGACTGAAACTGCATTATTGTTCCTTCTTCTGAAGCTCCAACTTCTTGGACTGAGCAACCCCCTTGGTTTCTCCAGTCCTCCAGCCTTCAGACAGCCATTGTGGGACTATCTGACTTCAGGTCCTATAAACTAATCTAATAAGTGCCCTTTTTATAATCATATAATCATTCTCATATATATATGAATGTGTGTGTGTATATATATATATATATATATGAATGTGTGTATATATATATATATATATGAATGTGTATATATATATATGAATGTGTATATTTTATATATATATATATATATATATAAATGTGTGTATATTTTATATATATATGAATGTGTCTGTTATATATATATCCTGTTGGTTCTGTTCCTCTAGAGAACTCTGACATACAGAATTTGGTAGCAGGAGTGACTTCTGGAGTTGTTAGGATTCGAGATGCTTCTCCAGCTGGTAGTATGGAGAATACAGATTGCCCATGCTGTGAACTATTTAAAGAGATATGCCAAGTAAATGTTTTTGATGATCCCAATTCACCATTTGAGAGAGGCACAGGAGTTTAGTGACTCTAAACATTATACTTTTGAACATTTCAGGAAAACTAAGGAAAATAATGATGTTGGCCAGTTACTTCTGGTTTCACAGGACAAAGCAACAAAGGAGAAGGATGAACTTAGAGATTCACCTTCTAGCTCCATATTGTCACAACCAATCTTAAATCTTCTCATTGTCCTCTAAAGGAGAACCTTTTCTCCTGCAGCCATAGGGCTCAGGTTGCTGAAAACCAGACACAAACCCTCATCCTGTGATTGGCTGAACTGGGAGGCAAGTTTAACTCTCAGCCTCAAAGGCTGTCTGTAGTTAATGTGAGGATATTGCTTGGGAAAGAATGGGATCCTGTAAATTGGGATGGAGACATGTGGTAGGAGGACCC